CCAGCACTGGTGGCTCCGTGTCGCCCGTAGTGGCTCCTGGGCCTAGGCCCAGCGGCAAAGAAGAAGCAGGAGCCTGGGCAGAGGCTGGGTGCTGCGAGGACCGCTCCTGCACTGGTCCCCAGGATGGATCTGAGTGGAGTCAAGAGCATCTCTCCCTGGCTCCTTTCTCAGTTGATTCCAGCCAATCAGCGTGCAGAGTCAGGCAGCGGCAGCGGCAGGAATGCTAAACAGCAGCTCCTTAAAGAAACAGAGGCAGTGGCGCCCCCAGGTTCAGTTCCAGCTCCCCAGATAACTGGGGTACCGACAACCCTACGGCTGAGGCAGAGGACTTAGGCCATAGGTGACCTCAGCCCCCAATCTCATGCCCCCATGTTCCAAATTTCAGCCCATTCTTCGCCCACTCCACCCCACCCCACTTCCAAGAGGGAGTTGCAGAAAGATGCTCAATGGGTCCCCGGGCTTACTCAGAGCTGAGGCCATCAGGAATAAAGACTTGAGGTAGAAGAACGGACTGAAGGGATGCTGGGGAAGTGCTCTCTCCTAACAGGGGATCAGGGCAGAGGGCAGCTTATGAGGCCTCTCTCCTGTGAGTGCCTCCTCTCCAGTACTATTGTTCTCTCAATCTCTAGGCCCTGAAATGCCAGTAACCTCCCACTTAACCTGCTTCCATTACCAGTGAGGCACTTAAGCCTAGAACAGGAGGAAAAGAAAGCTCTAACTTATTGTCCCTGGCCCACAGACTCCTCCTGTGTCCTCCACCCAACTTCCGCATGGTTATGATGGGGGAAAGTGCTTCAGGGTGCAAGAGGAAAGAGAATACAGGGAAGGAGGAAAAGCAAGAAGAGATATGAAGTAAGAGAAACCATTTCAGGGGTCTGAAGAACTTGGTAATCTCCTTAGCCTCTCCTGGCTCAGCCTGCTGGAGGATGGAAGTAGGATGACATGTCCAGACTATCTTTTTGCTGTTCTTGTTTTGTCATTAGCTACCAAGTATTGAGTCTTTACAAAATCCTAAGTGCTTTTCACATGCAGACAAAAACCCTACCAAGGTTATTATTATCTTAATTTCATCAATGAGAAATTGAGGCTCAGAGGTGTTAATTCGGGTAGGTACCACAGTTGGAAGTGACAGAATCAGAATGCAAAGCCTGGCCATTTGCCTCAAGAGTCTATGCTCCAAACCACTCCAGTACAACAGGTCCATTCTAAGGTTCTTCTGCAGAACTTAGATCTCAGTTCAACAGATAATCATTGCACACTAACTCTGTGCAAGACACTGACCTAGGTCCTAGGGATACAGAAAGTCATTCTTAATTCAGCAAATATTCATCAACCACCTCCCATGTACTAGACACTGTTCTGGGATTTGAGGATACAGCAAAAAATAGAACAAAACACAACAAATGCTAGTCCTTGGGAAGCTTACATTCTAGTGAGAGGACACAGACAAATATTAGCAAAATAAATAAATGAATTATATGATCTATATAATGATAAGTGCTGTGAAAAAAAGGTAGAGAAAGTGGGGTTGGAAGTGCTAGTTGTGATAATTTTTGTTCGAGTTTTTTACCCTCATGTTTTTAAAAAATATGTTTTATTAATTTCAGAGAGAGAAAGGGAGAGCGAGATAGAAATATTGATGAGAGAAACATCAATCTGCTGCCTTCTACACAATCCCCACTGGGGATTGAGTACAAAACCCCAGCATGTGACCTAACCTGGAATCGAACTGGCGACCTCCTGGTGCACAGGACAATGCTCTACCAACTGAGCCACACAGGCTGGGCTACCCCCACATTTTTAATATGAAAAATTTTAAACATACAGAAAAATTGAAAGAATTTTACAGGGAGCAAACACCAAATTGCCGTCTAGATTCTTATTAGCATTTTACTACACTTGCTTTTATCACTTATCTATCCTCCACATAGCCTCTCTAACTTGTTTAAAATGAAAATTTGCAAACATACAGAAATGTTGAAAAATGAAAAGATAACTCACTGAATGGGGTTAATATCCAAAATTTATAAATAATTTATAAAACTCAACACCAAAAAAAACTCCAATTTAAAAAATGGGCAAAAGACCTGAACAGCTATTTCTCCAAAGAAGACATTACAGATGGCCAATGGACATATGAAAACATGCTCAATGTCACTAAATGTCAGAGAAATATACATTAAAACCACAATGAGGCATCACCTCACACCTGTCAGAATGGCTATCATAAATAAATCAACAGCCCAGAAATCGGCCTGAACCAATATGCTCAATTAATATTTGACAAAGGAGGCAAGAACATACAATGGAGTCAAGACAGTCTCTTCAATAAATGGTGTTGGGAAAATTGGACAGATACATGCAAGAAAATGAAACTAGACCACCAACTTACACCATACACAAAAATAAACTCAAAATGGATAAAGGACTTAAATATACGACAGGAAACCATAAAAATACTAGAAGAATCCAAAGGCAACAAAATCTCAGACATATGCCGAAGCAATTTCTTCACCGATACAGATCCTAGGGCATTGGAAACTAAAGAGAAAATAAACAAATGGGACTACATCAAAATAAAAAGTTTCTGCACAGCAAAAGAAACCATCAACAAAACAACAAGAAAGCCCACTACATGGGAGAACATATTTGCCAACATTATATCTGATAAGGGTTTAATCTCCAACATTTATAGGGAACTCATACAACTTAACAAAAGGAAGATAAACAATCCAATCAAAAAATGGGCAAAGGACCTAAACAGACACTTTTCAAAAGAGGACATTCAGAAAGCCAAGAGACACGAGGGTGACAGCACATCCTCATGCCTCACATCCTGCAGATTGGTGAAAACATGCTCAAAGTCACTAATCATCCGAGAGATGCAAATCAAAACAACAATGAGGTACCATCTCACACCTGTCAGAATGGATATCATCAACA